AGCACCTTTGATCTTTAAAGAGAAATGGCCCTATCTTCCTGGTTTGGGTACCTGAAGATAAAAAGGAGGCAGGCTCACTGGAGAAGCATTTGCGAAGTATGGATGCTGGGAAGCATAACCTTACTGTTTTAGCTAAAACCTCTGGCCCTATCCGACAACTCTATGTTGAGGAACTCAACAGCCAAGCCTCTTACCAAATTCTGACATTCACAGAATAGGGCTAATAAATAGTGGAGGCTACATTTGGAACTGAAAGAATTTTGAGGAATGGATTTGGAATTGGCATCTTGGTTTGGATTCCAGTTAAACAGCCACTGGACATATGTAATGGAGAATGAGTACTGGGTCCGTGTCTCACATTCTCATGATTTAGTATTCGTAGACTGAGATTAAAACAAAGAGGGATAACTGGAAAGGAGTCTACAGTTTGCTTTGCCCTTTTCTAAACCTCTTTCTCCCAAAGTTTTATTGAATTAGATAGCAAAATATCTCTGTTTGTGATTTTCTTTTAAATTTGCTTCACTTAAATATTCCTATTCAAACATATCCAGAAAGGGATACATTTCAGATTTGTTTCCTATGTGTGGAATAAGATAAGGAGACTATAACCTGGAATTTTCAAAGACCTTAGCAACAGAAATTTAGCATCAAAGTTTCAATTTGCAGGCTTGGAATGTAACTCAGTGGTAGAGTACTTGCCTAGATTTGATCCTCAGCACCAATAATTAACTAATTAATTAATTGAGTTTGCCTTTTATAGCAATGCAGGACCCATTCTTTTTCTGCCTTAGATTTTGAGATTCTCTATCAAGTAAGAGGACATTTCCCTCCTATATTTATTGAGCTCTTTCTATTTACCAGGTATTTTGCATAGGACATCATATTTAAGATTACCAAACAACTCTGTCTGGTAGACACTTTATCCTCATTTTGCTGATAAGAAAAACATACCCTGGAGAGGTTAAGTAATGCCTGAGATCATTCTGTTGGTATTTAGTAGAAACTAGGCTTGAACCTTGAGTGTGTAACTCCTGAGTTGGAGCTATTTTGTCTCTGTGCCAGATATAAGAGATGGATTCGGAAGTCCTGGAAAGTGGATTTGAGTAATGTTTTAAGAAAAGAGGAGCAGGGAAAAGAGGGTTCTAAGAGGGAGGTAGATAGACACTGCCCTGGGTTCCATCCCCAGCCCCGTAAGGGATGGACTGAGTTGTGAGTACTGAGTTACTGCAGGGAGAGAGTTGAGAATCTTTTAAAATAGTTTGAAATATGTCTGTACATATCAGAGGACATGAAGACACAAGCAACTAGTTTGTATATGGAAATTTTCCTATCAAAAAGCTGTCATTTCCAGAAATATGGAACTATCCACCAATAGGAAATGATTAAGTGGAGAATAGTATATTTCTACGTCAGAATCTTAAGCCAATTAAGATGTGGGGTCTGTGTGTTGCCCAATAGTTAATTAAGCTCTTTCCCCTTGTGAAAAATAGGGAAAATAATAATACCTATTCTATAGGGATGTTGTGAGAATTAATTCAATAGCTTACATAAGATGCTTAGAATAATGCCAGCTCATGGTGAGGACTCAGATGTTAGCACTTACTGTCTACAAGCACTGATGTTCATGGTGTCTTTGTAACTTGTGAATAGACAAGGCTGTGAACCAGCAAGGATGAATCAGCAGCAAGTGTCATTCTACTTTTGTAAATATGTATGTGTGTGTAGAAAATGCCTAGAAACACACACATCAGGTGTTAGTGATGTTAAACTCTGGGTTTGTCAGATCACTACTTTCTTATAAACATAAGTGATTTTTATAATGAAAACTTTATTTCCCTAAAAATAAAACAAAAGTAAACAAGCCCAAGGATAAATCACCCCACAAGTGGTTTCTGAATTTCAAGGCAACTTGGTGAGAGGAAAATGACCAAGCGTTAAGCCTCAGTTCTTTTATTCTGATAGTCATTCAACCTGGATCTTTGGGTTGCAAGATTATTGTAAGAAACTTTACCAAGTAAATATGTAGCACCATGTAAGGCCTCATAAGGAATTATTGTCACTTGTGGCCCCTTTTACGAGGGCTCAGAATTTTGACAACCAGAGTTTTGCAAATAATAGTAGTAATAAAAATACTGTAATGATAATATATTGTCCAAACTTCAATATATTTCCTTATTTTAAACAAACTTACAAAACCTAATGTTCTTTTTGTTATTTTTTTCTATTATCTCCAACTCTGGAGATGACTAACAGACATTTACTGCCCAGCATCCATGGAGTCTGTGTAAGAAAGCAAATCATGGATTCTCCAACCCCCAATTACATGTTCTAGACTTTCCTCTGTATCTTGTTTTTTGGGGTTTTTTTGGTACCGGGGATCGAATTCGGGTCCTTGCTCTTGCGCAGCAGGTGGCGAAACCACTGAGCTAAATCCCCGGCCCTTTCCTCTGTATCTTTACAAACACAATATTAAGTTCACTATTCACCATTAAAATCATACTAAACCCCTTTTGGAATTAATAAGAATATAGAGACTAGGTGAACAAGAAAACTTTCTCATATCCTTCTCAATAGGGACTTTTTCTCAAAGTCTCTATGGGTTAAAAAAATGTTACTGCCCCCAAATACCTCAAATCAAATCTTACTTCATAAATAAACATAAATATCACAGTAAAGGTTGAGTATAAAGGTGTCACAGAGGAGCAAAAGAATCGCTAATTTTTTAGAGATTTTTTAAATCAAAATGGCCAAAGCCTTCCTTAGGGTTTCCATTTCCAAGTCATGATTTTTACTTTGCTCAGCTCCTACATGTGAAAAGTAACATAATTTAAGTAGACATTTTATTTAAAATTTCAGCGTACCAATAAATTTATGTATTTCAAACCTGTTAGACTAAAAGCTGACTGCCCTCTGGTGGGCTGTTTCTAAAATATTTAGCACCTGTTTAAGTGAATTGCTTTATAAAATACTGCACAGTGCCATGAGATTATTTTACAATTCATGTAAATAAAAAAACTATTTGGGAACAGGAGAAAACCTAAAAAGGTTAAATAATGTTTATTAATGTAAAAGCAAATTATAAATTGAATTTAATTAATTTCTAATTTTTAAAATTAATTTTCTTTTCTCTGTAAATTTATTTTATTTTCAAGTTTCAATCAAAATGGGGAAAAGAAAAACAATTTGAAGCTTCATTTTCAGTTCTGAAATGTTGATTTTTTTTGAAATGTTGATATTTTGATAATTTTCAGTTGTTTACAGCAATGTATAAAATGAAATGTTTATTACATTTAAGTTTTGTTCCCTATCACTGCTTAAATGTAATTGTATTGTTTGAAAAAAATAAATAGAAATAAGATAATTTAGTCCTCATAAAAATTTATGTTGACTCAGAAAAAAATAAAGCATAAAAAAATCACATTAAAATACCATAGCTAAGATGGGTATAAGAAAGATAAATGAGATTGATAAAACACTTTGAAATCTTAAAAAAAAAAAAACAACTCCAGTGCACTGTCAACCCTGTTATACAACAGGATCTCATTTTCCTCTGTTTGCAATTCCCCCTGAATACAGAGGTTCCAGTGAGCTGCAATCTTAGGTGTGGCTGCTAACTGATTTTTTGTTTTCCATAGCTATTGGAATTGTCAGTGTTAAAAACCTGAGGCATCACTAGTTCCACTTTGTCAGAGAATTAGCTCTAGTTGAGAATTACAATTCATGCTTTAAAATATTCCTTGGCACATATCTCATCTTATGCAAACAAATCTTATAAATAGTATTTGAATTCACATTAACAAAATTGTTTGAAATAAAGATTATATATACAGAAGTAAAAAACTGGCCAACTACTTAAAATTTTTTGAATCTCTGTAATAAAGATTACTGAAGAGTTTAACTGGTTAATTTTATCAGTTCCAGCAAAAACACTTGAAAATTCTATTTAACATTCCTCCTCATTTTTTTTGGTAAAACTGTTTCTTGGCCTTAGCCTGGAGATTAATTTTTTCTCCCTCTCAAATGCAGTTAGCATTTGCAAGTGGAAACTTACGAAGAGAGAAATTCTTTGAAACAATGGAATTAAAGATTGTAATCAAATCACCACATTAGATGAATTTTGTAGGTGTCAGTACTAGGATTTAAGTAAAGGAGCAACTTAAAAGGGCATTTCAGTCCTTGAAGATACCAAATACAAACTCTCGGGGAGAAATAGTCACACAATAGCCAGCAAAGTGTGCACGTATTTCCTCAAAATAGTCAAGAAGGACAAACATTTAAAAATGTTAACTGCAAGTATTTCAGCACACACCAACACTGTTTTCCATGTTTGCTTTTAAACTAACATACAAGTGGCTTTACAATGTAAAAAATGCCACTTATGTGAGATTTGACTTTTTTCCCTCAATCCAATAATAGGTAAGTGGAAATAGAGAAGTGAATGCCTTTCAATGAATTACTGCTTTTAAACTATAATACTATTTGCTGTTAACGAACACTCATTGGATTGAAAGAGATAACACAAACCAGGCAGTCCATTTTCCTTACCCTGCAGAGACGGCCCTGAAGCTGTCGGCTTTCAGCGCTTTTGCTTTCTGTTGGTTTCCTTGAGCCTGAGGGATTTAGAAATATCTGTTCAATTGGACTGTTACAGTTTTTCATTTTAAAAAATTATCTAAAGTAATAGATCTTGGGCACTTAGTATCATCGTTTTTGTCACGTTTTCTCTCAGTTAAAAAATATATGAATGGAAATACATTCATGTGTAGGTAAATCTGTCTCTAAAGAGTAAAAAGAAATCTTAACTAGCATTTCCAGATAGGTAGAAACAGAATAACTACCATGTTTTTTGCATGTCTATATCTAAACATATATAACCCTACAACTGTCTCTGAATTTATAATAATCTGTACTCTCTCTAGGTCCATTAAATCAATGTACTTATGATTTAAGATGAGGAATTTTTTTTTTTTTCATGACAAATGTGTGGCGGTTAATTGCAGCTTTGTGACTTCAGTCGGAAAGCTTGTGGTGGGATCCTGGGCTGTGCCTTACGTTTTCCATCAACAGAGGGCACTCTGTCGTTTGCCAAGGAACTGCTATGTCAGGGGGCTCGGGGCTGGGAGTGAAGCAGCCGACAGTCAGGTTTGCAAAGTTCGCTCCAATAAGAGGCAAAAGCTCTTCCAACTGGCCAGTGTATAATTTATTGGAAATGCTACTGATCATTGAAACAACATACGTGAATGAAAGAGAACCCCATGATTTACAAAAGTCAGATGCAAGTGTCTTTTAAGTCAGAGGTGTGCTGTTATTTGAGTATCACCCAAACAGTTAGTGTTGGAAATCATCATATGCATAAAATCAAGATGCATGCTCAAATACAAGCTCACCTTGTGTAGATGGTGACAGCTTTATTTATGTTGCCTGTCTTAGCGCCGTGTGCGGGAGTGTCTTTAGTGTGCTTGCTTCGGTACAGCTTAAATAGACTATGGCTGTTTTATATTTGACCCAAGCAAAATGAAATAATTCTTCCTATGGTAATCTATCTGGGTCATAATTGACACATTAGGAAGATTCTAGGAAGCTTTCTCTCTGCTACAGGTTATAGAAGATGTTTCAAATGCTGTTACTATTAATTTTTCACCTGTCAAAGTTACTAAATTTAAACTGAAAACTTGAAAAAAATGAAAAAAAGATGCACTCCAAAAAAATTAGATTTTCTTGGGGAATTTGTCCAAGATCTACATTTACTGATGTGTAATTTATTGGCCTCTTCAAGATAACGAAGTAATCATAACAAGGTAGTAGAAGGATTGCTTTTACTCTGTAACAGAAAAGTTTTACAAATGTCTTAAAGCCTTTGTGAAACCAACAGTGAGAAATCTCATTAGACACTAGAATCAACATGTTTGACAGAAGTGTGTGCATTATCATGGCCCATTATTTTAAATAAGAGTGTTGTATCTCAAGAACTGGAGAGATGCCACAAATAGTAGAATAAATGGGAATGTAAAAGGCAAACAGCATGACAGCAACTGCTCAGACTCAGAAAAAAAAGAGTATTTTAAGATATAGATGTGTTTAAAAAATCCTCTTTTTAGAAAATGTGCTTGATTATCACAGAAGGAAAGAATATAAGGTTTCCTCATGTTAAATATATGTTTGTGTACTATTAAGGATGATGAAACAAATATTTAACAGCTCAGATACAGCATTTCGCTCCCAGTAATTCCATTATCATTTACCTGACTAGAAGAGAAGAGCCCTTTTCTTTCTTTTGCAAATATATTTGCCAGCAGCTGTTTCTACATTTATAAAGACCATTTTCACTGATTGTCAAATAACCATAAATTCATTTATGCATATTTTAGAGGCATAAAAATAATTACATGTCTGATTAAATCCACTTAGGCCTTTGCGTCTTACTAAATCTATAATAGATATGAATTGTTATGATGTACTTCATCTTGGTGCATAAATAATACAATGTGTATATAAAGTCCAGCTTTCCTACAACAGAGTGTGTGGCAATAATTCACACAGATACAGTTGGTGTGTATTATAGAAAGTGATTTATTTTTTTAAATGTTATAGAGTCTCTGACACTTTAGCTAGAAAACTGAAGATACTATTTTTATTATCATTGCTTCATTGTCTTGGATACACATTGAAATTATTTTTAGTAAGTTTGTCATCAGAGAATAATTAAACTAAAGACCCTGTCTTAATATGCAACTGTGGAAAAGTCATATATCCACTTCTAAGTTGGCTGCTTCTTGAGGTATATTAGTTTCTCCTTCCACCAAACTCCTAACCTCCCACCTTCTTTCTCCCTATCACTGCATCCACCTCCACCCACCTCCTTTGCCTCTTTGAACCAAAGGAATTTAAATGAAGATAGTATTTTGAGAGTTTTAAGAGCCCATTCGAAGTTAAGAATCAGAGTGCTTAGAAACAACAGTTTGATTCTACTCTTCACTCCCTGCAATACAGATGGAATTTTGCTTTCTTTTGATTGAGACTCAGCTTATAATAACTTTAATCACATAATATTTAACTATATTTGTTATACCACAACACTTGGTAACACTTCATTTTGAGTGTTCCAGCATTATTAATTCATTTGGTATTCATTGTAATAACACAAATCATAATGAACTCATTTGATATTCATGTGGATGGCATAAGTACTTCCATAGGAATTCTATTGCATTTCAGCATTAATTAAACACATTCCCTAATTTTCTTAGGAAAAACAGGAATATACTGTATTTCCTAAGTACTGGGTCTTTCATAGCATTATACACTGAGCTGATTATTATATCAGACATTGCATTGTCTATATACATCTTTATGAACATATTTTACATGCAAAACTGCTAAAAACCGAGATCAGTGTCTAGATTTGTAGATCACAATATGTATTCTTAATATAAGCATTTCATAAATGCAGAGAAGTGATATTTACAATCACATTTCTCATGCAAAGAAGGAATCAGCCTTGTGTTAATTTCCAGCATCTCAAATAAAGATAATGTCTTTCTTTAAACATAGATAAATAACTAACACCCAGAAAATGAAAGCTGTCTAACCAGAGGGAGCTTTGCTTGGTGGCGTTCTTTCCCTGGCTGCTGGTGCCCATGCTTCTATATTTGCCATTGTGTATGCAACTTGTGTGATGTCATTTGCTCAGCCAGGAAAAAATACCAGCCCCCATTAGCATCCTGAGCTGGCAAAATGAAGTGGCTTATCAAAGAACAGCACAAAACCATTTTAAAGAGAGATCTCCTAAAATTTACTAACCTTCAACCACATCAAGGTTTCTGAAGTTATTACACAGGATTTTTAATACGTTCATAAGTAGCTGATCCCATTCTCTTTTCTGCCAGCAGAGATAACATTTCTCAGTCCTATCTCACGCATTCCTTCTATTAAAGAAAAATAATGATGCTAGACTTGAGTGTATATGCGATCTTGTCGAGTTTTAGCTTTAAGCACCAGGGGGTTTCTATGTTAATGTGAGGGTTTTTTATTGTTGTGTATTTGTTTGTTTCACTTGGGGGGAGGGGAGCCTAGCATTTGTCTGGAAACTGAAATCAGACAGCAGCATTGGGAAGTAAATCCTACAGGGAACCACATCCCCTCCCCATTTGACTCTGCAATTTTACGGGAGTGGTGGGGAATTATTTAACTCTTAAAGCATCTGAATATGTCCTACAGGAGGAAACTCTAAACAACATTTAAACTTCATCATTATTTGTTCATTACTTTTCATTTTATGATATGAATAGAAAACTATCAGCTAAAGGACTGCTACGTCTTTGCCAGAGAAACTCTCTCAATGCTGGGCTAGGCATGAGAGTTCTAATGGTTTAAGAATTATAGATTTTAAAATATTTTAAATCAACACTAACACTGCGTGATCCCAAAAGAGAATATGAAAAGGAGGAGCATGCAGTTCATGAAGATGTTCATTTTTCCACAACAGTTAGAGATCATGCGATTATTTTCTCTGAAACTCCAGGCAGTGAGAATAGAATATTCAGTTCACAATTCTAATGTAGTAAAAGAGACAGATATGGTTTTTTCTCTTATGGTTTGTAACTCCTGTTACATTTAATAAGAACTGTACATCAAGGCGTCGGGGGAGAAAGCAGATTCCTGTTCTGTAGTCTGCAGAATTACAGACTATTCACAATCTGCCTGACACTTGGATATAGTGGGGCAGGTTAAAAATGTTTCCTCCTATGAATTCTAGGCTTTTGCTGATTTCAATATTCAAGGCAGACTTCGCATATACAAAAAAAGTACTTCAAAGGTATGCATTGCATTTGTTTGTTTGTTTAGGCTTGCAGATCTTTCTCAGAGATCAGTTCTTATTTATCTTTGCATTGAAATACTTTTATTATGCCAATGCCAGTTACCTTAATGTTGCCTGTTTAATGGTGGCAGATTTTGTTTTGCCAGTAGTAGCAAACAATTTAATTAGGAACACAAAATAGCTGCCTGCTTTATTTCCCCCCTGCAAGTGGCTGCTCCTTGTCTAAAAATAAGAAACTGCCACTATAAAAATCTCTTTCTTTGAGCTGTCTCTAATGAAACTTCCCAGTTCCACTGATTCCACTTGTTTCACTGAGCTTTCTCTACAACAATTTATTCTTTCTTTCTAAACAGACCTTAAGGTATGCAAGGCCGTTTGTAAATTACATGGTGCCAGCAATATCATGAAATATCATGACTGCAGTTTATGGGCAGATGAAGGGGGATAAGTTGTAACAAGAATAAATTACACAAGTTACACTGGAGGAAGCACAGGGGGATGGGAGCCAGTAAAATTATTAAACTTTAGAGTGGTACTTAATGAGGACACTAAATTAAGTGACCTTATGAATGGATGGACCTAGCAATTGGTATTCTCAGGAATTATCTCCCATTATCTAACAGAGAAATAAGGGGATACAGTATCAGAAACCAAGACTAGAAAAGTACAGGTGAGCTGAACACTAGCAAACAAAGAAGTTTCACTGAAAAAACAATGATCTCTTTAGAATCAACCTGAATATACTACAAAAAAAATCACATACTGTTTAAATTAATGTAATTTATGGTTTGGGATGATACATTTCATACCCAATTTTGTCTTTTTACAAAGGTATCCAGCTGAACGAATAAAAGCTTGCAGTGTTTCTGTAATTAATACAAAGTTATGAAGAGCACTGAGAACTAGAACACTAGTCACATGCTATAGACTTTCTTTACCTTGTTTAATCTGTCTATGAAATGGGGTGGCAAATTTATGGGGTTTTTACAAATGAAGTGAGCAATTATGAATAAGTCATTGGATACACATTAGAAAAAGTAGCATATATGTGTGTGTGTGTGTGTGTGTGTGTGTGTGTGTGTGTATATATATATATATATATATTGCATGGAAGTACCTTATTTATTGAAGTAGAATTAACATGTAATAAAATACCCAAAGCTTGCACATACAACTCAGTGAATTTTTACAGAGGTGTATCCTCTTGTGATCAATGCCACATGAACATTTTCACTGGCCCAGAGAGTTGCCTCATTCCCCCATCCAGTCCATTCTATACCAGAGCTAATCACTCTTCTAACTTTGTCACTGTTGATTAATTTTGAACATTCTTGAACTTTAAATATTTAATCAAAGCATAGAGTATGTACTTTTGTGTCTGGCACCTTTCAAATTCAACATAATTTTTGATTCTGCCATCATCCTCTGTTATTGGGGATTGAGTTAAGAAAATGGGATTATTTTCAGTCTAAAGGTTGGCCCTAAAGGTGTTCGATAGCCTCACTTCCCCATATCTCCCCACCCTGCCCCATTTTCTGCTCTGTCCTGCATGAATACAGCCCAATGGTTATGAGTATTGGCTCTTTCATCCCTAGACTGGATATTCATTTTCACTCCATCACTGACACTTGTGGAAAGTTAGGTAACTTGCTCAAAATCTCTAAGCTCTAGTTTTCTAATTAGAAAAATGAGATTAATAACTGCTTCATGTGTGTGTTGAGAGAGCTAAATCAAATAATCCACATCAAATGCTCTTATGTGATTCTGATTTCTAAATGACAAGATTAAGACAGTCTGGAAAAACAACAACAAAAATAATAAATAAAAGACTTTGTTGGCCTGCTCACAAGGAAAATAGGTGAAAGTATTACGCTTTCCAGACTCGGAAAACAATGAAAATACATAACAATCAACTCCAAATCAGCCTTACCACATCTCAGTAGAGTAAAGAAGGCTGCTAATGATTGCTCACTATGAGGTACACCTTTGTCATTATTGGCCATTTTCAAATAAGGAAACAGTATTGTAAAAAATGCGTTTACATGAATTTATAATTACCACTGCATATTAGTTTATTTTGAAACAATTGCCACTAGGAACAGACAGATCTTAGAACTAGAAAGGAACTTACAAATCATTCTGTTTATCCTCATTTTATAGGCAGTGAAACCAAGGCAAGACATTATTTGCTTAAGTTCAAATATTTGCTTGTAAAAGCCAAGATTTCTGTTTCATAGTCCAGGCAATTGGTTCTTTAAGTATGGTTCTTGAACAAGTGGAAACAGCATCTCCTACTGCTTATGGAATGTGTTAGAAATGCCAATTTTCAGGCTGCACCTAAGACCAAGTCAGCCAGAAATGAGGTGATCCTCAGCTGTCCATGTAGGAACTTCATCTACAAACTTGCCACTGAAAAGATGATTTGGGGACCAGCAACATTTGCTGGATGCAAAAGCTTCTTAGCAGCATAGGATGATCTACCTCTGATCTACCAAATCCTGCAGTTTAATAAGACTTCAAGTAAGATGTCTGAAGTTAAAGCCAGGAAGTATTGATGTAGACTAGCCATAATCAGACCCCTAGGAGACTCAATAGTGTACCAGGGTCTTCGCCACTTTCTGCCACCAAAGTCTTGTCCCAATTTTTTCCCTAGGCTTGCTCCTTCTCCGAGAGATCTGCTAAAAATCTCAACTGTAACAATACTAAAAATGAAAACTCTGGGTTCAGTCTTCAGAACCTAAACAAAAAAGCAAAAGCAAAATAAACAGACTAAACCCTAATAATAAAAATTATTTAATATAGAAACAGTTATTTACATTTTACTTATAGGTAAATTATCTCAAAGAGTTGCCCCTTACCCAATGTTCTGCCATGAGGAGGTGGAAGAGTTGGGGTAAAATCTTTGCTCTTTAGGCCTTGTTTCATTCCACCCTGAGATACCAGATCCATATTCTCAATGGTCAAAGTATCCTGCTAACCTATCTAAACCAGTATTGGCTTATATAATCTTAAGCTAATTTTAACTTACAGGAATCATAAAAAGTCTCTGCCTATGGATATAATACCTTGAGTATATCATTGATATTTTTTTCCCCCTTTTTGTGGCACTGGGGATGGAATCTAGGTCCTCACACATGCTAGGCAAGTGCTCCATTACTGAACTACATCCCCAACTCTTTTTTTCTTTTTAAATTTCCTTTCAAGACAGGGTCTCACTAAGTTGCCCAGGCTGGTCCCAAACATTTGATCCTCCTGCTTCAGGTTCTGGAGTAGCTGGGATTACAGATGTGTGCTACCACACCTGCACTATTGTTAATTTTTGAAAGGAGAGATTACTAACAGCATGAGGGCAAGAAACCAGGCCAGTGCTTCTCAAACCACCTATGAAGAGCTATTCTTCTGGCATCTCAATCTGTCAATATATGAATACTTTTGGTAAAATACAGTAAAATGAATTAATAGTACAGTTAATAAAAAAGGCAAAAATCCAAGCCAATTTAAAAAATATTCAATAGATGTAAAATTACAGTGTCACATTGCTGTAAAAGTTTTTAAATGCTTACTCTCAATTTTGGTACTTATATTGTCACAGGCAATAAACAGTTATAGACCGGTATTGTTCTTGAAAATGAAATGCACTTTGAATGGCAAGACAATAGGCAGTCTACTAATTAAGATTGAGGCATAATCTAGACCAGTTTTAAATTACTATAAAAATAGGTCAGTGAACTCTGACTCTGTACTTCCACCCATGAAAAGGTGTAGAAGGCCACTGACATTTTCTCCAGAGTCAGCCCTAGGACAACTAGTAACATTTCATTTTTTCATTCACTCAACCAACATTTAATGATAATAGATTAAGTGCCAGATTCTTAGGGTACAGAACTGATTAAGACATGGCCTCTATTTTAGGAGGACATGTGATAGCAGGGAATATTAATTTATTTTCTATGTAGTGTTTATCTATCTTTTTATCTGCTCTTCCATCTATCTATATCCTTCTTCTTTGAAAAGATATATTTTTGGGGGTCCTGGGTATCAAGCCAAGAAGCGCTTCAGCACTAGTTACATCCTCAGCCCTTTTTAAAAATTTTGAGACAGGGCTCCCTAAGTTGCTCAGGTTGGCCTCAAACTTGCCGTTTTCCTTCCTCAGCCTCCAAAGCAGCTGGGATTGTAGGTGTGCAGCACTATGTCTGGCTTTATGAAAAGATTTTAAAGTACACTATTGTATAGTATAATGAGGCAAAGATAGGAGGGGCTTCCACTTCCGGCAGCAGAGGCTGCAGCCTCGCTCTGGTCCCTGAGGTATGTGCCCAGCAGGTTCCAATTTTTTAAAGTTTGAAGAAAACCGGTCTGAAACAAGGTCTTACCCTCAGCTGTCTTTGAACATAGTGTTTGACAGATCTATAGACATCAAGTTCAGTTTTGTATACTGGCGAGTATGATCTTCCGGAAGGAGCCGTTTTTCCATGGACATGACAATTATGATCAGTTGGTGAGACTAGCCAAGGTTCTGGGGACAGAAGATTTATATGATTATATTGACAAATACAATATTGAATTAGATCCCTGTTTCAATGATTTCTTGGGCAGACACTCTCATAAACGGTGGGAACACTTTGTTCACAGTGAAAACCTGCACCTTGTCAGTCCAGAGGCCTTGGATTTCCTGGATAAGCTGCTGCGATATTATCACCAATCACGGCTCACTGCAAGAGAAGCCATGGAACATCTCTATTTCTATACTGTTGTGAAGGACCAGGCTCAAATGGGTTCATATAGCATGCCAGGGGGCAATACACCTGTCAGCAGTGCCAACATGATGTTAGGGATTTCTTCAGTGCCAACCCCTTCACCACTTGGACCTCTGGCAGGCTCACCAGTGATTGCTTCTGCCAGCCCCCTTGATATGCCTGTTCCAGCTGCTACTGGCGCTCAGCACCCATCTTTCTCCTGATGCCTGAGCAGAGGTGGGGAAGTCCACCCTCTCCTTGATGCAGCTTTTGCCTGGCGGGGAGGGTGAAACATTTCAGAAGCACCATGTCTGAACCATAGCTTGTGGATTTATAATAGTTCAGTCGTAAAAAAAAAAAAAAAAAGAGGCAAAGATAAGACCAACAAATGATTTGCATTGTATAGCATTTTATTTATATCTCATTCTAATCTTAACTGGTCACATTATCCTGTGAAGGAATTAGGACAGGCATTATTATATCCATTTTAAAGATGAGAGGATTTGCTTCATGTACCCAAGGTGGGAGAGCTTGAGTAGAGCAGAAGGAGAAATAAAATTTAGGTTTGTGACCTGCAATCCCATCGCTCCATTTACATCACCTTAGCTGTGGTTGTTTTCCTTCTGAAATTCTTCATTCATGGGTTTCCTTTCGATGCTTGTCTCTCTCCAAGCATTATGACCTCATGATCCTCCTAATGGTGTGCTTTGATCTGCAGTTCACTGGAGCTAAGGACATTTTATGCTGCTTTTCTCAAACTCATATCTTACTGGCCCATATCCTATTCTCTCTGGATCTTACTATACTAGATGACAGCACACCTCAAAAATTTGAATGTATGTCTCTATTTAATGGTAGCCAGTGGCCAATTATTTCCTCTCTATCTGGAGGAAGACCTAGTTAATATTGAGACAGAGGAAGTTTGTCTTCATTATTCCCACCCTCTTGGTGGCATATCTTCATCCTCAAATCAGTGACCTACACATGAATACTCTTTTTTTCTTCATTCCTTTGGTAAAACAGTCCCTCAGAGCATTTGCTCATGTAAGGGTGTAATGGCAGCTGGCACTATAAAGCTTTGATAACTCAGAATACTTTTCAGTAGAGTAGCTCGATACAAGGTAAATACTCACAAATCAATAGCCTTCTTGTACACAAATGACAGACTCACTGAGAGAGAAATTAGGGAAACAATCCCTTTCACAGTAGCATCCAAAAAAATGAAATATCTAGGAATCAATCTAATGAAGAAAGCAAAAGACCTCTACATTGAGAACTACAACACTCTGAAAAAAGAGATTGAAGAGGACATAAGAAAATGGAAAGACATCCCTTGTTCCTGGGTAGGAAGAGCCAATATAGTGAAAATGGCCATACTTCCAAAACTTCTATACAGATTCAATGCAATCCTGATTGAAATCCCAACAATATATTTCACAGAACTAGAGAAAACAATCCAAAAATTCATCTGGAACCAGAAGAGACCTAGAATAGCTAAAGCAATTCTAGGCAACAGAGACATGTCAAGGAGTATCACAATCCCTAACTTGAAACTATACTACAAAGCCACTGTGATAAAAACAGCATGGTACTAGCAAAGAAACAGACCTGAGGATCAGTGGAATAGATTAGAAGATGCAGAAACAACTCCAGACATACTCAGCTACCTCATCTTTGACAAAGGAGCCAAACATCCTCACTGGAGGAAATATAGCCTCTTTAATAAATGGTGTTGGAAAAACTGGATTTCAACTTGCCAAAGATTAAAATTAGACCCCTATCTGTCACCATGCACTAAACTAAAATCCAAGTGTATTAAAGATCTAAATATTAAAACAGAAACACTAAACTTGCTGGAAGATAAGTTAGGTAAAACTCTTGAAGACATTGGCATAAGAAAAGACATTATGAACAAATCCTCAGTGGCATGGAAACTAGCACAAAGAATCAACAACTGGGATCTCATCTTATTGAAAAGCTTCTGCACTGCAAGAGAAACCACCAACAGAGCTAAAAGACAACCTACAATGTAGGAAAAAATTTTTACCAGCTGTTCCTCGACAAAGGTCTATTATTTAGAATATATAAAGAACTAAAAAAAATCAGATCCCCCAAATATAAAGACTCAATTCAAAAATGGGCATCTGAAATGAACAGACATTTCTCAGACAGAGAAGAAAAAGCAGCAAATAAACATTTGAAAAAATGTTCAACATCACTGGTCATTCGAGAGATGCAGATGAAAATAACGCTGATTCCACCTCATCCCAGAAAGAATAGCTGCTATCAAGAAATCAACAAATAACAAGTGCTGGCCCGGTATGGGGAGAAAGGAACCCTTCTTCATTGTTGGTGGGTGTGCAAATTGGTGCAAACACTTTGGAAATCAATATGGAGATACCTCAAACAACTAGGATTGGAAGTCCCATTTGACCCAGCAATCCTCTGCTGGGTATAATCCCAAAAGAATTAAAAGAATCATTCAACAATGACATATGCTCATCCATGTTTATAGTGGCACAGTTTGTAATAGCTAAAACTTGGAAACACCCCAATTGCCCATCAACTGGAGACTGGATAAAGAAGATGTGGTTTTTCTATAAAATGGAGTACTACTCAGCCATAAAGAATGAGAAACTAGAGACATTTATAGCTAAGTGGATGCACATTGAGGCCATACTCTTAAGTAGAATAAATAGAACACACATATAAATAACGAATAGTTTCTCTGGTGTGAAAAACTAAAAGTGTAAATAAGGACCAAAATGTATAATTGATATTGTGAAATAGGAAGAAAAGGTCTATAGGAAGAGGGGAAATGGGAGGGATAGGGGAAAGGAAAGAAGGGAAAAGAAAAAATATGAGAAAAGGAAAAAAATGAAACAAATTATTTGTAAATAGGGAAGGGTGGAGGGGGTGAAGGGAGGGCCAGGGAATGGGGAAAAAATAAGAACCAAGATACATAGTGTAAAGGTACAACATCCCAATGATGAATGTAACTATATTGTATACCTAAAATGTACCAATAAATAAATAATTTTTAAAAACTTAGAATACTTTTATGTTCTGTTTTTCCACTAATGTACTATCATAGCCTGAGGTCCTGTCTTTCACATGGTAAGGGCTCAGTAAGTATTAAAGGAATTTGTGATTTCATAGATATTAATCTTTGTTTCCCTGAAAGGACAAGAACAAAAACCAATACATGAGCTTCTTCAGCTTCTTGGCTCTGAATTGAGGAGTTTTGTGTTCTTTATTGACTGAAATCTTGTCTCCTTTATCTCCTTCTCTCCTGTCTCATTTCCTTGTAAACTACTCTGCATAGATGACTGATGCTTTAAAGTGCATATCTGATCATGCTACTTGGTTAGGTATGAATGTCTTCTCTCTACAATTGCCTTTGGGTTCTACCCCAGGAACCTCACCAGGGAATACTCAAGGCAGTGGCAGTGGAAGCAGCAAGATAATTTGGAAGATGCAATGGATGAGCACTGGGGTCCAGTTGAATGAGGGGATTGAGAGATGGAAGGCTTTGATGGTGAAGTCAGGCATAGGGCTGTGAGGGATGACACTGCAGTCAGTCACATTGTGAAAATGCCTGCCTGTTTCTCTGTCCTACATTCCTCCCTTTTCTCTGTCTTGTCTTAAAATGTCCAGAGGAAATCCTGAGACCTGTCTTGCAGTATGGTAAGGAATTTAGGCATGGTAAAACACGAAAGACTTGTGTGTATATTTTTTAAAGGAAGCTACTTTTCTTTAATATTATATGTTCACATACTTTTCTTTCTGGTTAAGAAGAGGGTTAGATTGTGTTCTTCTTTGGTGATAGTGTTGCCTGGAAACAAAACTGCAAAGCAAAATGTATGGCAAAAGCTCTCAAGAGAAAGATAACAGTTCTCAGAAACTGTCTAACGGAGTTGATGGGCATGGGGAGTTAGAGACTGATGGTTCATGATATGAGACCTAGCATTAGAACTAGCTGGGATCTTTACCACTTATAATTTAAATGGGTAATCTTGAGTAAGTTACTTATTCTCCTACATGTAAATGAGAATTACAATAACAGCTACATAAACCTATGGTGAGGGTTAAATAACAATTATCTCAACACAATGCTTAGCTCCAGCAACTGCCAATAAACTCAATTAATATTGTAGTAATTACATGACTCCGTAAGAGCAAAGCCATGGAGGTGTGTGCCATGTGAGCGTTCTCTATACATCCATAATGTTTTGCTATCCAGAAGACCACTCTCTAGATTTCCACATTAAATTTGTCTTCCTACAGTCTTTACTTCATAATGATATTATCAAGAGACAATAGATAGTATTATTTTCAAATACAGAGGAAAAAAAGCCAATTCATCTCTATTAGAATAATCAATAAAGAAGGGACAGTGGAAAATCAAAACTTCTCATGAACTGTGATCTTTTAAAGGTAGGTTATATAATGTGAGGGTATTGGCTCTGCTTGGTTCCTCCTGCCCATTTAGAAAGCCAGGGACAAGCCACTGAGTCACAGAGATAGTTTATAGGAAGCCAAGAGGGCTCAGGGAGACATTCTGATTCTGGTGAGTACTTTCCTAATCTCCAAGAATACAGCAAGGTCCAAACTTGAGCCTGTATCTAGGCCTCTACCCCCTGTCTAATTCATTGGTCTGGGATAGGACCAATATTTTGTCTTTTTGCCCTTCCTCCCTTTTGGCGCTTTAGTTTATTCAACTTTCCCTTTCAGAAATTTTGCCAACATGTCTTTGGTTAGTGTCTTGCATGTCCTTGTATTGCTTTTTCCTGCTCCAGTCAGAATTGTAAACTTTGTTTTATAACTGCAATATTCCTTTTGCTCTCACTTCTCACATAGTAAGAGTTCCCCCAATTTCCTGAGTACTGCAGATAAATATACCTCATAGAGCTAACTGCAACAACATCCTTCATCAGAATATATTTATCACCCATCACATGATATTATTGACCAAAAGCAAAACTAATATTTAAGGATGACTTGACATTGATACTTCAGGCTCTGTGGAATAAGGTGACACCCTTACCAGTTTTATTAATGGTATTGCTACTGAGTTTGTAGTTTGTTTTAATCAGCAGTATTTGTGTTGGAAACTTCCTGAAACTTTTGCTGTCTTTTAAATTTTTAAAATTTTCTGTTTTTAGTGCAAACCTTATTTTATAGTTTGTTTATGACCAAATATAATAGTTCAATATCTATTTGT